GTATTAGGCTAAACCTGACCTTCCCGACTCCTATACTATTGTATTTTACTTATTTATTATTTATATATAACAAGAAATAATAGAAAATTAGATAAACCCAACCCGCCCTATCCTTGAATGTGGGGATGGTAGGGTCGGGGAGGGTTTTGTATTTTCATGTGTGGGGAGGGTTTGCATTCTCAAAATCCAACCTGTTATGGGTTTTGGGGCGGGTATGGGTTGGGAGGTTTAGGGAAACAGGGAGAGCAGGGTTAGGGAAGTTTTGAATTTTCATGTATGGGAAGGGTTTGGATTCTCAAAATCCAACCTGTTATGGGTTTTGGGCTGGGTACGGGTTGGGAGGTTTAGGGAGGCAAGTAGAATCTAGAATTTACAAAACCCTCCTTGAACTCGCCCCGTTGCCATCCCTAGTTGTTACTGTACAGATATGCAATAAGGGAAGAATCTAGAAGACCTAGGGCTTCGATAACCACAAGCACAAATAACATTAGAGACCCCGAAGTTGCTCCCGAGGGAGGTTTCTTCAATGTGTAAATTAGACGAGGAAAAAAGAGGGAAAGGCAGAGCTTTGATAGAGAAGTAGTGAAACAAATTAAACCTTGGCTTAAGTGGCTTTATATAGAGGAGTCTAGGGATGCAAACGGATCATATAAGATTCAAATCGGGGTATATCCGAATCCAATCCGATAGCACATATCCTAGATATGACATGATCTGAAGATCCAACTGGATCTCACAATTTCCAGATCGATTTAAATCCGAAACCATTAAGGATATCAGGTATCCAAATTTGATTTGATCCGATTCAAGTTCTGAAATTTTTAATAAATAATTAAAAGAAAAACATAATAATTTATATAAAGAAAATATATATATATATGTATTATATATATATATATATATATAATCAGAAAATCCGATACAAGATTATCCGAATCCAACAAAAATAAAATCAGATTCAAACGGATCGGATCATGATCTTCCATTTGCAGCCCTAGAGGGGTCTTGGCCAAAAAGGACTATATTTCCTTGTTCGTCTGAGTCTCCTCACTCGACAGAGTTTCTTGTTTGGCCTGGTTTTTAAGATGGTCGAACCTTTCAATTCGGTATTCCCCCATCCTATTTTTCTTTTTCTTTTGTAATATATATTCCTCCATCCTATTCCTTCGCATCAGCAACTACCCCAAATTTCCCTTGACTGGGTCTACATGTCACCCTCCATTTGATGGTTACAGTGTGGCCATATCAATAGAAAAATGTATTTGGAAATAGGGTGATCCATTTCAAACCCAGAACGATTCTACTTGCATATAATTTTATAGAAAAATTTTCGATCAGTACCTTGTATTTTGGTTCGAATGATAATTTGGTCTCCAAACTTTAAAATGTGACAATCTAATATCCAAACTTTTAAAATGTGACAATTCAATACTTACCGTTAACCAGTCTGTTAATCAACCATTAAGTGACATTTGAAAAGTCAAAAATGCCATTCAAATGTCATCTCATTCTCTTTATCAACCATCCAAATGTTGATAAAAAACTGAACAGTCCCAAAAACTAGCCTCTTCTATTCAAAAAAGTTGGTGACTGTTTAGAAGAATATAGAATTTATAACTATTCATTTTATTGTCAATGTTTGGATGGTTGATAAAGAGAATTAGATGGCATTCTTAGGACATTTTTGACTTTTCAAATGTCACTTAACGGCTGATTAACGGATTGGTTCATAACAAGTACTGGATTGTCACATTTTGAAAGTTTAGTTACTAGATTGACACATTTTGAAAGTTCAGGTACTAGATTGTCGTATTTTAAAATTCGGGGACCAAATTATCACTTGAGCCAAATTACATGGTACTGATCAGGATTTTTCCCTAATTTTATTACCAATATTTCTACCAAAAAAAGTTTATTACCAATATACATAGTCAATGTCAGAGCTTCATTGATATTTGAACAACGTAAGTAGGGTCCCTTATAATTATTATTTTAAAGATATAACCTATGATATATAATTATATTCCAAGGAAACCATCCTGGTTCAATGGCTGTAACTAATAACCTCCACTATCATAATTTCCAATATTTTATTAGAAGATAGAACACTTTTTGACATTAAGAAAGTACTGTTTAGTTCGGATTAGATATTCTAAAGAGAATGGAGGAAAGGAGAGAAGTTTACAGGCTAAAGGGCCCATCTCCCCAACCCACATCCACTTTCTCCCTTACCCCAAAGTACCCATTGTTCTGGCAATATATAATGTAATCTTTGGAAAGAAAAATTGAGGTTCAATAGTGCCTAGAGATGAAGAATTGAACATCTGCTTCCAATGGTGCATGAGGAACATGGCCAACCAAACTCACTGAAACCCAACCATGTGGACCATATTTCAGGGTTGGATCAAGTTGGTTCTGGTCCAAGATGAGGCCATAGCCTCCCAGATCATCATGACTGGATGACCCATTTCAGAGTTTTTGGTAACCAGCAAATAGATTAAACAAGTCAAAACACTTTCAGTGTTTTGTTGTTGACAGCTCAGACTTGGAGGCACTTGAATGGTTTGTGGGTGCAAATGGGCCACCCCATTTGCAGTTAGCGATGAGCATTAGAGCATGTTGTCATAGTGGGGTGGGGTGGGGTGGGGTGGGGGGATCCTTGCTTCTTTGGGCCACCCATTTGGCTAAATATATTGTATTTGATGATGAGAATGTTGACAAGCTTACTTGGGCTAGAAAATCTTATATACTGCTCATCATGTTCAACAAGAATCCTGAATGGAGGACTCTTTTGGCCCAAGAATCTCATAGATGGCAACTTAGGTTATGTTAGAGAGAATTGGTGAAAGTGACTTGAATAAATTAAAAATTTAAAAACTTCCCATCTAGGCATCTAAGTCTGTTACCTGGATTGCACAGTAGTTGTAACTATGACCTTCGATTTTCTTGTATCATAGGGCCCATGATAACTACCTTACATGGTTGGGGAGTTGGTGAAAGTGACTTGAATAAATTAAAACCTCCCCATCTGGACCGGACTCGAGCGATTGAACCATTTGAACTCTCCAACGGTTTGAAATCACTTTCAGCTGCCTTATTTAAAAGCCTCGAGTAAATAAACAGTACTAAGACAAGGCCCCTGAAAGTCATTTTCAAACTTTTGGAGTACTAAGGTTTCACCTTCTCCTTGACTGAGGCCGCTATTTGTAATAATATATACAAATTGTTCAACTAATAAACTACTTTTGGACTCTCTTCTGAACAGATATTATCCTCTTCCTTTGCACAATCACAACATCAATAAGTAGGAATCAAACTACACTTGGAATAGAGAAATATCTTGACAGATTAAGGCACGTGATATGCACATGGATGACAAGCATGATCGATTCGCCACAAACTATTTATTAATAATAAATGCTTTTAGATACTTATACTCTTACTTAAAATAAAAATAAAAAAAAATTAAGAAAATACAAGTAATGTATTCTAATCCAGCTGAATTTTCATTCTTTAAGCATCAAGTATTATTACAATTTTATGCAAAATACATGAAAAGAAGAACCAATTCTGTCCAGAAAAACACAGTAAGACAGTCGATCAGACGCTCTTTTATTCTCATAAACAGTTGTATTCTGCTGCAGGAATCTCATCCAGCCATCAATAAGATGGGTGGGTCTATTAATATAATGGATGAAAGTGACTCGAGACATCAGACATGTAATTGTTTAATATGAAGCGAAGTGGGTTCCTTGTAGTTCAGTTTTAGAGAGTATTTAAAGAAATAAAATATATCAAGTAGTATTAGGTAGCCCACTGTATATATATATATATATATATATATATAGAAATACATAAATTGGAATTTGGAAGTGAATCTGACGCTTGGCCAATAGGAAGAAGCAATCCTATTTCTCAAGCAAGGGATCTTCAGTCATCCAATTAAATAAGCAAATAAACATTTATTCTATAAATACCTAAAAAATGACATGAAAATTACAGTGGGTATACTTATTTGGTTTACAACCAGTCTCATTTCAATTAATTAACCATATTGAAGATGGCATTCAGCTAGTTTTTTTTTTCCATGTTTAGTCTAATTAAGAAATAAATAAAAAAAATACATCGGCGTCAAGAATCGCATCGACACAAATTACGGTTTTCTTAAAATAATGATGGATTAATTAATTAATAATATATTTCTAGTTTAAATGTTTAAAAAGTATTAATTGTTAATCATGTAACCAAGTTGGTTTCTTCCCGAATTCTAATATGGTTTAAGCTTTCAAGAGTCATTAATTTGTATAAATAAATAAAGAATCAAGTATTAAAGATGCCCACAGCATAGTAGAAATTAGTAACTAGTAATTTAACAATAAAATTAGTTTTTTAAAATAAAACCTGGTATGTTTTCTTAATAGAAGCCTTAAACCGAAGCAAACTCAGGTTTTCAAGCAACCCAAGTGGACATCTTCTGGGCAGGCCACGTGGCAAACCTGAAAGCTCAATGCAACCCCAACCACACATTTAACCAAGAAGGAATTATTATTAGTAAATAAAAAGGTCCACGTCAAATACTTCATGCATGGCCATCCCACCACCGCCCGTGACTCATTCCTCCCTAATAATAAATTCATTCAATTAGTGCTCGCGTGCTTCACTCACGTAGGTCCATGAAACCATGATGCATCTTCGCCACACCAAAACGAACTTCCACGTAGTTGACCTTTTCTATCTTTAATCTATGTTGTTTTCATGCATCATCATTTGATCATCTACCGAGTATACGATTCATCTGCCCCGTCCGATTCCCATATTGGGGACAAGAAATCCTACGACGCTGATTTCTTTGAGCTTTTGTTTTCGTGTATTAATTAAAAAGTAAGCCGGGTTTATTTATAATTTTTAAATTACGAAGTTTCACAAAAGCCAAAAAAACTGCCACGATAAAAAGCCCTCAACTCCGTCAACGGATTCTCACAGTCTCTGAATACCGCATCTCACCTGAGGCGAATGGACGGAAGCCGGAATCTGACGTCAAACTCCCTCGGTCTCTGTCTCCTGCCTTCAGAGCTCATACAAGAGATTCTACTCCGGCTTGTCTTGCCGGAAATCATCCGTTTAAGAACTGTTTGTAAAACACTAACGTCGGTTATCTCCGCCGAGGATTTCCGACGTGAGTACAACTCCAGGTCCAGCTCCGACAGTTGGCTCTTCGTTTACAAGAAGAGATCACCTCGTAATTCCTTATTGCACGGCTTCACGGACCGGTCAGACCGTTGGTTCAAATTACAGGTAGCCGAGTTTTTGTTTCCAGCCGTTCCTCCGGGTGAGGATCTTTACTTCCTGACCGCCTCCGGCAACTTCTTTCTCTTTGCGTCGAATAACCGCCGGGAAGTGATCGCCGTTAACCTGAAGAGCAACACCGTCAAGAGGATCCCTCCAAGCCCATTGGGTCCACGTGGGACGTCATCGTGGCGACGATCAGGACTGAAATTAATCGCCGGACCTCCCGGTTCCGACCGCTTCCAATTTTTATTTGCCGACTTATACGAGAACCGCCCCACTCTGTTCGTGTATGGCTCGGAAACGGACACGTGGCGGTCGATGGAAGCCATCGAGAGGGAAACCAATCAGCCAGGTGTCACTGAGAAGGGGACAGTGTTTCTGAGTGTCGTCCATCGGAGGACAGAGAGCGTTGTCATCGCGCTTGGGCCCGAACGAGAGAAACCGATGGTTCTACGGCCAAGATTTGACGGGGGAGGCGTTGAGGAGAGGCTGGCAGTAGGATTCGGTACGGCTGATGCAAGCGATCAGTTACACGTGTACGGTGATGGTGACATGGTGATTATTAGGTCGGAGTTGGTGCATGGGCGTACAAGGAAGATGAGGATGTTTACGTGCATAGAGCTTTGGCGGTTGAGCGTGGATGGACGCGTGTGGGAGTTGGTCTCGAAGGTTCCAAGTGGATTAGTGAATAGGATTAAGAAGGCTTACGGGGTAATGACGGGTTGTTTGGAGGAGAGAGATGGGATAATCAGGGTCGTTCTGGTGTCTAATTGTGAGGGTTTGTGGGACCTGATTTGGCTGACATATGACCTTAGGATGGGAAATTGGGCATTGGTCCCATTGCCTGAGTTCAGAATGGAAGGCCTGAACATGGCTGGGATTGCTTTATCATCTGGTCTCTCACTCTTTTGATTTTATCATGGATCCTGATCCAGCGGCTACAAGTCACCGAAGAGTATGTTATAGATTGCCCAGTTTTGTCTTTTGTGCGTTGCAGCTTTTCATTTTGGGTCTGATTTGATTTTGGTGTTATCTGAGAAAGATTGTTTTGTCCCTGTGGTAGTGTTTCAGCCTTGCAGGGAAGAGAAAGGGAAGCCAAACGAAACAAATGCAGTCGTCTTTTCTTTCTCAATCAAAATTCGGGTGCAATTGTATTGCGCTGCGTGTTGTTGCAACGCATTGAGAGTCGAGATACCTGAATTTCAAATTGTGTTATTGTACTACCTAAACTTAAAAAAAAAAAAAACTGTCATGTTGGTTAAAAACCGTTAAATTACATTAATCGACAAGTGTAATGACATAAATGCCCCTTGTAATTTGAAGATGAGACATATTAAAATTGGAAAAATCTATGGAGCAGAAAAAGATATATTGGAAGAATTTTGACCAATCAAAATCTGCCCATGAATTTTGATAAATATCAACATCCAATTTTTGTTCAGTCTCCTTTTTAACCCACTTCTCACACTATAAATGTCCAATTAGATCTTATCAACATATTTAAAACATGCTAAAATCTTAAAAAACTAAACTACAACTCAGATAGTCTCAAATCCATCATCAAATCCATAAGATTCCTTTTCGATGGTTCCAATTGTACCACACCACAAAACCTGTTACCTGCATGGTTTAAAATATCGATATGATATGCCTCGTATTGGGCGTATCATATCTTTTGAAAAAGATACGGTTTCCAGGCGTTTCGGACCCCTAATTTTTTTAAATAATAAAAAACATGTTTTTAGCTTTCGAAAAAAACAAAATTTGAAAAAAAAACTAAAAAAAAAATGTTTTGGTCGTTTCTAAGTACCGATATGATACGATCAATATGCGAATCGTATCGATACTTTGAACCTTGGTTGCCCGATCAGACTCCACCACATGAAGCAAAGCTGATTATCATCCAATCACACCAAATTTCAGCCCTAAATTCCTTGATTTCACCATTCATCCATTAGAGATTCAATTTCAACACATCTGACAATATGACACTTCTCAAACCAAAAACCTATGATCCACACGTCCCCAACATGATCAAACCCTAACAACAACATCGTAATTCAAATCCATGCCACTTCACCAAAGTCAAACTAAAAATTCCCTTATTTACCCATTCATCAAACCAAGATTCCATTTTAAGTCCCCTCGTTATCCGAAATACTCACAACCTAGATCCTCACGATTCCCAAACCACTAAAGCCATTAGACACTTTCATTAGACTCTTGGGACCCCAAGATGCCCATTCAACAAATTTTAGAACCAAAAATATCCATTTTGCCCCTAATATAGGAATATTCCAAATCGGCCATTTTCATTGCCCACTACTCTCCAAATCATAAATCTCCATCACAACACCACCCTCTATGCACCCAAACCTCACCAAAACTTTCATCAACCACCTCATCGACAATCCAACAAATTTCAGGCCCCAAAATACCAATCTTGCCCCTCATCCAAAAATATTTCAAATCAACCACTCCCGTTACCCGACACTCTTAAAATCTTAGATCTCCATCACAATAGCTCCCCCGAGACACTCAAATCTTCATAACCTCCATTAGACCCCTGATCGACCAACCACCAGATTTTAGACCCAAAAATGACTGTTTTGCCCTTCATCCAAAAAGATTCCAAATCGACTATTCTTGACAGTCGTCACTCTCGAAATCCAAGATCTTCCTCGAGACGCTCCATCTAAGCCCCCCAAACTATACTAAAACCACCATCAACTTCCTGATCAACCATTCATCTAATTTCATACCTCAAAATACCCATTTTGTCCTACGTACACAAAGATTCTAAACCGACGATCCTCATTGGCTGCCACTTTCAAAATCCAAGATCTTCATATAAGCACATCATCTAAGACCCCCAAAACCTACCAAAACCTCCATCAACTTCCTAATCAACCATCCGTCCAACTTTAGACCTCAAAATATCCATTTTGCCCTTCATCCGAAAAGATTTTAAACCGCCGATCCTCATTGGTTGGAACTCTTCAAATAAAAGATCTTCACGAGACACATCATTCGAGACCCCCAAAACCATCTGAAACCTCCATCAAACCCCAATCAACCATCCACCAAATTTCATGCCTTAAAATGACCGTTTTACCCTTCGCTTAAAAAGATTCCAAATGAGTCATCCTTGTCGTCTAACTCTCTAAGTTCAAGATATCAATCATTACACATCATCTGATACCTCTAAGCCCCATCAAAACCTCTCGATTGATGATACATCACATTCCATACCCTGAAAAATAACCATTTTACCATTCGCTTAAAAAGATTCCAAATGATCCATCCTCGTTGTTTGATACTCTCCAAATTCAAGATATTCCATTGTCATACATCATCTGACATCCCCAAACCCCATCAAAACCTCCTGATCGTCGATCTGTTAAACCATAGACCTTAAAATGACCATTTTACCCTCATATATAATGATTCTAATTTGAGGGCTTTCATTGGCCACTACTCTCTTATTTCAAGATCTGCACTACGGTACACCCTTTGATACACTTAGATCACGCCATCACCTTCCTAAATACCCGAATAAAATCTCCTCTATTTTTTTTAAACCCAAAATGACCATTTTCTCCTTCCATTAGGAAAATTTCCAATTCCACGACCTTTTTTAGTCGACGCACTCCAAATCATAATTTCTTACTCTAGCATACCCTTCAAGGCCATCAAACCATATTGATAAAGGAAGATTTGGCCCGACCTCGCAAATCACGGCACGTGGCAAAAAAGGCAAGYAGCTCGGCACTCAAGACAGCATACCGAGGGTACAAACRCCAAAGGGAAGGGACCAGCAGGCCCGGACTCCCTACTTAGAACTCGAACTCCCTAGCAAGAGGCCCGAGCTCCCTACTTAGTGCCCAAGCTCCCTACTAAGATTTCAAACTCCCTAGCAAGAGGCCCGAGTTCCCTACTAAGATTTCAAACTCCCTAGCAAGAGGCCCGAGTTCCCTACTTAGTGGTCGAACTTTCTGCAAGGTGCCCGAACTCCCTACTTAGTGGTCGAACTCTTTGCAAGGTGCCCGAGCCCCCTACTTAGTGATCGGACTCCCTGCGATGAGCCCGAACTCTCCCTTTTGACCCCGAGTCACACAAAGCAGAGACCCGAACTGGCTCGTCTTATGACAGTTCGGGGCCTCCCCTTATCCGAACTCGAGACTTTGCCTCATGCACCGCTCCAGGCACTTCGCTTCCGGAGCATTGAACTGGACGAACCACGCCGTACCTAACACCGAAGGAGTCCGTATCCAGGGGCGGCGCACCTAACTGACTTGGGATCTGACGCTTGACGGCCGCATTTCCAACAGCCACCTGCCACCTTCACCTGTCACCACTGCCTCCAGCTACAGAGGTGGCTTCGACAAAAGGAGCAGTGACGGGTCTGCCCCAGCAAAGGCGATGACGCCCGAACTGGCAGAAGCACGGAAATACTCATTCCCGACCTGATAGGAGTCTAGGAGTGAGTGCGCGAGGTGGTTATAAAAGGCTCTCCACCCCCAAAGAGGAGGTATGCAAACTTTGCGCTATCTGGTTTATCTCGCCTTTGAAGGATTCTAACTTAAGCTTCGGAGCTTCCTCATCTCCTCCGTTTCAGGTCCCCCGCTACTCGATTCAGAGGCAAGATCGCTGACAGCTAAGACCGGCCGGATTGCGCATCATCACATATCATCACCCTTTTCGGACACCTTAGAACCCCTTAGAAAAATTTGTTACAAAACCCCCATTTTACCCCTCATCTATGAAGATTCTAATTCGTGCGATCTCGTTGTTTGAGATAAACCCTAACATCTTGAGTTTTAATTTCAACCCACTTGAATCCTACACATCATACCCCTTTGGACTTGCCTTCTCATTGCAAAAAACCCCTTTTGTGTTTTTCACTTAAGTCCCTACACATTTTTGAAAATCACCCCAAAGCCTTCACTAAACCTAGAATCAATCCTAGCCCTAGATTTGAACCCCCCCCCTTGCCCCACCCTTGGATCAGCCTAACCCTTACTTCCACACCCCAAAACCCTAAATTCTAAAACCTTAGACGCCCCCTCCAGTTTTGGCTCCAAGTTTCAAATTTTAAAAATTAAATTCCAAATCCCCCTCATTCTAGACATTAAATGAAGGGGAGACAATTGAGAGTGATTTAAGAAGCCTTGTCTAGAAGACTCCACTCATTAGATTAGCACAAATAGATAGCCCTCCAACCACTTTAGCCAAACCCTGAAACCCTAACAATTCTCACTTAAACCCTAACTAGACACTAACCCAATTCGGTCCAAACATAACTAGATCACCCCAATTCGGTCGATTCCCAATTGATCGAGCCAAGCCCTCTCCATTCGGTTTTAAAAGAAAACCTTGGAAAAAAAAAAAAAAAAAAAGTGAAAAACCTATAATACAAAACCAACCGAAGCCCAGTCTTCTCTCCTGAAGAGTCTTACCACCAGAGCCCAACCGTCTTCGTACTCTCCTTCTCACACTTTCTTCTCCCTGAAGCTCTTTCATTCTCATCTCCTCTCCCTCACTCACCATCGAACTCTCTTCTTTTCCTCCCCTCTCCCTCACCACCGAACTGATCTCCTCCCTCATCTTCTTCTTCGTCTCACCCCCAACTTCCAAGGTTGGAACCACCGAACTCCCTCCCGCTCATCTCTTATCTTCCTCCACCACCGAATTCCACCTTCCTCATCTCTTCTCGTCCTTCCTCCTCCCTTCTCATCTCTCCCACTCTTCCCACCAAAGTTGAACCTATTCCCTCAAGCTCTCTCACACTCAGTCCCTTCTCCCTCACTACCGAACTCTCCCTAATGCTCTCACCGAACTCCCATCCCTCTCAGCCCTGAGACCATTGCAGTAGGACCTTCTTCCTGATCTCTCTCTCTCTCTCTCCTAGCTTCCGCTCACCTTCTCCCATAAGGAAAACCCTAGCCACCGAACTCCCCCTATTTCTTCTTCGTCTAACCTAAACCAGCTCCCCTCCTCCAACACTACTACGCCGAAACTCCTCACCATCATCTCCATCCCCGCTTGTCCCTTCAACCAAAATAAAAAAAAAATAAGAGAAAAAAGAGCAGGTTAGAGGAGACTCCTCCATTCAGGTAGAAGAGAGAAGGAAAAGGAAGAAAGAAGGGAAGGAAGAAAACGTACTCGGCATCAAGCTTGAGCATTTCCCTCCCACCAAATTTAGCACAATATTTTGGGGCTTCTTGGGCATCAACCGAGTTAGGAGCTTTCCCATTCAATCAGACCATCAACACTCACCTCATTGCCTCTCCCAACTTTGAAAGAAAAGCCATAAACAAAGGTATCTGGCCTTAACTTTTCCATCCTAGTTTACAACAGTTTTTTTTTTCTCTTTTTTCTTTCCTTTCTCTTTATTGCTTTGGTTATTTTTAATTTTTTTTTCTCATAAATAAAATGTTTAGATTGATGTTGCCTTTATCGTGATGTATTTTTTGTTTGTTTTGTTTAAAGATGAATTAAGATGATATGAATTTGATTCTCCTGTAATTTGTTTGTTTTGTCTAAATGCATGTAGCACATTCCGATCTAATCCTCTTTATTTTTGTAAATCTGATTTAGAGTGAAGTTTGGAGTTTTGTGCTCCTCATAGTTCCCTCTCTCTCTACCTCAAGTAGGACTGTGGTAGACCTTGGATAAAGAGGGGGAAGGTGTGTAGACACCCGTCCATTTGCTCCTCTAAAGGCTTCTTACACTCGGAAAGAGGGAAAGAGGAGATTGAACCCTGTGAGAGAACACTCTCTCCGTGTTAATATCCTTATTGAATCAAAGGATGCCTTTTGTATATTGATTTAGTTTTGAATTTTAACGTTAGAGTTTAGGATAGGCATTCACAAGACAAAAGGGAGAGAGGTGCCTAACACCTTCCCTCTCGCCTAGAATTATGCCGTAACCTTGGTTTAGGAAGCCCATCACTCTGTATTTCAAGTTGTTGGTGGGTGGCGGCTCCTTTCATTGCCATATAGTGACACCCAATTTCAATGGGATGTTCACAATAAGCAACACCTGATTGGCTGCCATATTTATGTTTCCACTTGATTAGTGAAAAATCATTCAGATATCATATCTTTCTGATATCATAGTCGAACCCATTAATATTTAAACCTTTTTTTTCCTTAGACTGAGCAAACTGTTCATTCCAAGCATTGATGTTTTGTTCGAAGTTGCAATGTTTTCTGTTGGTGGGTTTGTTTGGAAAATCGATGTGGGAGATGACTTATTCAACGATTGAATTCACCAATGACGATCAGAAAATTATATTATCACCTATACGATTAGGGTTTTCGCCTATTTACACCCAGGTAACTGAAAAGGGTAGTGTTTTCAATCTATCACCGTCACCGAAGAAGACAAAGTTGTCACTCGGCGCCTCAACAACTAGGGTTTGCTCTAGATTTTATACATCAGTTATCAGCCTTCTCTCTCTCTCCTGTATCTTCTTTTATTTGGCTTGTTGAGTTCACGAAGGAGACAATGAAACCGATTTGCACTCATTATGCTCCAATCGATTGTTCTTTGGATAGTTCAGTGGTAGATATAACTGGGCTGGGTTGTTAATTTCATTGAGGAGACGATGAGACCGGGCTGTGCTTATTGTGATCCGATCAGCTATTCTTTGGATAGCTTGGTGCTGGAAACAATTAGGCCAATAGGCATTACACTAAAGATGTGCAAAATCCTCTTGGCAAAAAACAGTTATTGCCTACAAGGTAATCCTCTTGGCGCCAATTTGGTTGCCACACTGGCCTCCTTAGATGTGCAAAATCTCATGCATCTTGAACCGTAAATGGAAGTAGGCAAAGAGATCTGATGACGAAACATGAGTTAAAGGCTGATTCTTTTCTTCTTTTATCAAAACAGAGCAAACAGTAGGGACGAGCATTTTCTCTACGATCGGTATTGCTGAGCTCAAGCACCAATTGCTCGGCTGAGGCCATCTTCTGATCTTTGTTAGCTTGAACAATGTTTGCATTAATGGAAGAAGCACTTGGGCCACCATAAGGAGGGTTGAGTGAAAGTGATGGGGGCAGATTCACCATCAACGGTCGTGTATCGTTTTTGATACCCGAGTTTCTTCTGGGAGTTGGAGGAGGGAGAAAGAGAAGTGACGATGTTCTTTATTACTTTTCTTTTCCTCTTATGCCTCTCATGTTAATACCAAAACATATCTTGATGACAAGGAGTTAGTTAGAACGTAAAACCAGTACCAAGGATCTCTTTAGCCTTCACTTCCCAAGTCTAGTTTCCAATGGAGGCGTCGAGGTAGAGGCGGGGCCTAACTAGCAGCAAGAGAAAGATGCGTTTGGAGGATTTCCGACATGGCAACAACTGTGAGCCCTCATAGATGCGTAGGTTGGTACATGCGTTTTGGGGTGAATGACAAATTCTGGGCGTTTGTGAAGCCCTTGTCTCCTCCGATCTCTCTTTCCCGCTATGTGAACGTGAAGCCTTTGTCGTCGTCAATCAAAATCCGTTTGCTCAACCCTAGATTATTTATGTTCAAGTAGAAGCCTCGTCAGAAGGAGAAGAGGAAGACTTGTCGAGAGTAAAAGACCTTGGTCGATGACCCGTCCACGCCATCTCTCTCTCTCCCTCTCTCGTGTTTCTCCTCCTTTCTCGTTTGAAACGCTAGATCTGAAAACCGTCGTAACAGTGATTGTCGTTAAGCTGAATAATCCTAAATTTCCCAAATTTTAAACTGGTTTAAAAAGGATAAAATGGTCTACAAATTCACTTAAAAGGGTAGTTTTGACATTTTGAAAATTTTTAACCATCACATGTCGTCACGTGACCGAGATAACGGATGAAGTACTAATGCCAGATACCAATTTGAAAGTTTTTGAAAATTTAGGTATTGTAGAGACAATTTGAAATTCCGGTACTAACTTGAAAGTACCCCTAAAGTTTAGGGTACTAATCTAGAATTTACCCTTTACTTATTATGCTTAAGTTCTTATTTTATATCTTTTGTTCTACCATGAAACAAAACAAGGTAAAATTTTAAGCAAAAAAAAAAATCAGAATTTATTTACACTGATGCAAAATCATGGTAGTAAAAATGATTTTAGTGCAAATTATGGTTTATTTTTATTTTGAATTATATGTTATTTTGTTTTATTGCAGTATAAATGAAGTAAAGCAAGGCTTGAATCAAAATAAAGTAACACCGAAAACAAAATTAAACCAGAATTTGCATTCTTTCCATTTGCAGTCTTATGCATTTGAACTAGTACAAATAAAATTGTCTTGCAACCATACACAGCCTTATATAAATCACTTATACTACCATAGTTTTGCACCACTGCAAACGAACGCATCTTTGCTCCATATTTAACATTTAAAACAGATATACTGTATATGAAACAACAAGGTACTAATTGTAATGGGCCTAGCCCTGCATAAATTCAGCCCCAGCCCAGGTAGTCCCTAATCGTTGTTCAAGACCACTCACCACTCCATAAACTCAAATTAAGATTGTGAGCGAATGTTACAGGGAGGGGTCTTTAACCACGATTAGACCTGCTATTGGGGAGGTGGGCTTTGGCCAATAATGAAGACTGAAGAGCATCTGGGAAACGAAAGGCCCCTTATCGCCCTGTGTTATCCAATGTTATGGTAAAGATATATCATGGGCCCCCATGGATTTCAACATGGTCTATAATTGTCTTAAAAGTAAAGGCTTTAAGGCCTGTATTGGCCAGCTTGGGTTGGGTTGGGTTGGCGATGGGCCTTCGGTATTTAGTAGCCCATTGGCCCGGCCCTTGGATAACAGAACAAAGAGTAACTTGAATGGAAATGCAAGAAAAAGTGAAGGATATCGGGACTCAGAAATTATGTAAATAACCCTAAATTTGTTTTCTTTTTTGGGAGGCAAATGGACTACATCTACTCTAGCGGGTGGAACGTCCCCGAAACCCCAGAAGAAGGAACCTCCCCAACCCTAAACAAGGGCAGGATTGGATCATAGGTCTCCATCGCAAGTCGCATCCAAAAGGGACCCTAACGAGTTGTGACAAGTCTTTGTTGAGGTGAGTAAGGGTGTCAATGGACCGGTTTTGGATTGGACCCCATCCAGTCCAAAATCAATTTTGACGGACCAACAGGACATATATTGGATTGGACCAATCTGGTCCAAAAAATTATTAGATTGGATTGGACCTGGTCCGTCCATAACAAATTTATATTGGATTGGGTTGGATTAAGTCAATATCTGGACCATTGATATAAGATAAGAATATGTGTTAATGGACCAGGTTTGGGTTGAAATCAATCTAAATCCAAATTGATCCAAATATTCATTGGATTGGATTGGACTTCGTCCATTTATAATGGATTCACATTAGACTGGATCGGATTGGACCAAATCCAGTGCGATTGACACCCCTAGAGGTGAGGTAGGTGGAGGATTTGACATCACTTCATAGACGTTATAATTACTAAAATACCCTTTTCTGTGACCAATCTAAAATCAATACACAAACCCCGAATAGTTGGCATCACTTCGTGGGAGGTGGACCCTGAATAGTTGGTCAGAAAACTTGTTGAATCTTCATGTTCCCCATTGCCAATTTGCGATAGATTTATTGCAAACAAGCTAAGATTGTGTTTGGATAAGCTCCAGGGTTGGGGGCTTATAAGTGTTTTGGCTTTTATAATATAGTGTTTTCAGAAGCAAAAGTTATCAACTGTTCAAAACACTTTCTGGCTCAATTTTGTTTTCAACAGCCCAAAGCTCAAAAATAAAACTTATCCACACAGTGCGTAAAATTATTCAATTAACAAAGCCAAAGCTCCAAAAAACGGTGACACATCAGTGCCACATCAGAAAAAAATGGTATTCCAGGAATCACCTTTTTGTTTAGAATTGTATTTTCATAAAAAAACGGTGCTCCAAGCCACGCCTTAGAAATTGAGAAGGCATGGCTTTGAGCAATGCCAAATTTGACATTTTCTGGAGCTGCAGCTCATTGCTACCAACAAGGACATGAGCTGAAAACGTTTCCTTGAAGTACCAAACAGAAAATGTTGCTGTTGCTCCAGGAAATGATCTATCTGACAGTAACATTTTCTAACAAAAAAAAAGATACTGTTCTCTCAGAAAACGATGTTTCCAACCCACATATCAGCAGCACCCTTTTCTGAGAAAACGGTGCTGTATCTGCAGCATAGATGCCATACATATATTAACTGTTTTTGTTGAATGACTTATAAAATTCATATTTATACATACAAGTAAAGTAGATGCTCCCGGTGTTCGGCTAGATTGCTGTGTTTGATAGTGGCAAATATGGACTCTTCTGAAATATCCATTGTCCAAATAGGAAGGAAGAGAGAGAGAAAGAGGTTATTAAGCAGAACTTTTGGAAGCAAATACCAAAGTCTGGGGACAAAAACCTAGACGACATACTCTGTTCTCTATGCTTTTAGTAAGATGAAACTGTCAGCTAAAACAACGGGACCAACACAACATGTTCTCTTGGAGGAATGCCCACAATCCTCCTGTTGGAATTTGGAAATTGGCAACTCCACTGTAAGATCTATGACCAAGCCTTTTAGGGTTTCCACGAGGGTCCTCACTCCTCATTGGAAAACCTAGTGGACCCCATCAACCTGACCTAATATGAACCCTTGTATGAATAAAAGTATTACACTATCTCTCGATTTCAAGTTCCTAACATCCTTTTTATACTGAATTTTACTGCATTTTCAAATTTGAAATGTTTTTTCTTTTAAGTTAGAGAGAGAGAAATCTTTGCCGAATGACAAATAGAATATTAAACTCACATGGAGTGTAGTTCTTGGAGACCAGCTCATAACAATCAAAACAGTAGGATTGTAGGGAGACCCATGTCTTGAATTGAATCAATGGACTATTTTAATTGAATGGATGTTTCTGACAAGGCTCCCTTTTCATGAAAATAACAGTTAATCAATATAAGAGTATATGTGTGCTTATATTATAATTTTTTTTTTATTCATTTGGTCTGTAGAGAGTTCTAATGTATTAAGCTTAGTTTATACTCGATCTTGTCTTGTTCCCAGATTTTCTAAAATGCCTTATCTCAAATGAAGGGATATTTTGGTAGAAAAATAAATTTCTTCCCCACTTCCATGAAGTTGAAAATGTCTTTTTTTAATCCCTTGTTATCGCACATGATATGTTCAATTAAAAATGCTTCATTCTAAAATATTCCATTTCCTTCTTCATAATGGAAATGGATGGCTATTCAAGACGCCATCCATTTTGGTTCTTTTGATAAATGGACTCGTTGGGTTAGTGCTGCAGCCAGGAATGCAATTGGATTTAGCAGGTTCCTCCAATCCAATGATTTTCTAAAACCAAAGATTAAAATATTGATATATCTAAGCATTGGTGTGTATCGAGATAATCAATATTGTTTAATTTTTATTTTTTTAATTATATATTAAAAATTCATACCATTTATTTTAATTAAAGTTTTAAGGTTTTCAAAAAAAAACTTATATCAATGCATCCAAACATATTTAAATACATTAATTAATATATATATATCCTAATTACCATCAAAACGTGAAACCAAAGATGCATATCTATCTGAAAACATTGAATTTGGATATAAGCAACATATAACTACTCCCCAAGCTTGATGGGATGGGGGGATTGTGTGCGAGTCCACGAGAGTAAACTTGCCACTGTACTTGGGTTATTACTTATTATTGCTTCTGTCTAATTTACTATGTATAAAATATATCGCTCTTCCGCTAGTTTAACACCTGGCTTAATATAAAAATCAGATAAATTGTTAGTGGGACTCAACTTTCTCTCCCATTAATGGCCCTACAGTATCAGCCACCACATCAATGTAGCAAAGTTCTCGTTCAAAGCAAAATACAATTTAATAAAATATGGTTTCAGTCTTCATTCATGAAAAGCTATCCACATTACTTTTTTGATATGTAGAAAAGCTTTCCATATTGTTCATCAATCATCGAATTCGAATGAGTAACCTTAGTTGAATTTCTCACTTAGCTCTTTTATTAGTTTAATCAACTTAATCGGAATTGGAATCAGAATTAAAATTTTTTAGAATCGGAATTGAAATGATTCATTTTCATAGTCTGTTTTGTTCAGACAGGAACGGTAATGAGAGTCAACAGGAATAGGATTTTATACCCAAAGAGAGGGGTAGGGAATGATCATTCCCTCTAATGGGGAAATGTTATTCCAACAGAAATAAAAATAGAATTCCGATTCCACACAATCAAACAGTTCAAATTAGAATAGCCCATTCTGATTTCAGACCCTTTTCCTGCAAACCAAACAGGACTTAAGAATTAAGAATAAAAGCTGAGAGACAAGTAAAATTTTAGATTAACTGAAAACATCAAATTAAGTCTAAAATAGAGAATAGTTTAAATAGACCATTGATTATTTGAAGCACTGGTTTGATTGGGACTCCATTTTAGGCACCGATATCAGCAATTTTGGCCCCTTGTGTTCAAAAGTATTTTCACTTCCAAGGATTCCTATACTCACCTAAGAATTAATTGTCATACTAAATCCTTTTCTTTCTTTTTTTTTTTTCCTTTGTTTTGCTGTGTTGTCATCCAGATATAAAGGTTGCTAAGAAGTCATAATCCACCTTATTAAATATATGCTTATCACTTTATAACCTTCAATGTTAATTAGTAGCCTAACTTAAGGAGAAAAAAAGGTACAAACCCTCTATTTAAAAAATTAGGACTCTTTAGCATATGATAATCAACTTTGATTTTGGTGAAAGAAAAGAAATTAAATATATTATCATCTTTTTCTCTACAAGCCCCCATTAAGCCTGAAAAGAGGTCTGGCTCCTATTATTTATTTATATTACAATGGTTTATTAATAGTACTTTATTATTATTTAAAAAATAATAATAAATTATTGGGTATTTGATATTGATGGATTGGGAATACTAATGTGGGTAGAACTGTAGTCAGTTCTGGTAAGTATGACTAATAATAGGCGAGAACTTTCCTATACATCTGAAAAGCTATTCATATTGTGTTGACAAACTTAATTTATTATATTGCATGTGGACAATTTTCATGTTTCCCTTGAATTTTAAATTCTCCAATGTTCTTCAATTATTTACATTTGTACCCAATAAGATGAAATTTGGGCTCTGTTTGTTTTGTTTGCAGTACAATTTTGTAAATGCATGAGAGTACAGATGAAAAGCATGCAAAATCCGATCAACTTTCTTGGGCTTTTATTTTACCTTTCTTCAAGTCTTGTTTTACTTCATTTTTACTGAAAATTGTCAAAGGTACGGTAAAATTTGAAAGAAAAATAAATTAGAATTTACCAAAAAGATGATGAGATTTCTGTAATTATTTACATTAGTCACTATAAATCAATAAAGCACATGAGATAATATGTAATAATAGGCAAAGAACAAGGAAAACAATGAAGTTTGCCCTCATATGGTCTATTATGAGCTTTTAGCTTTTATCCTTGCACAAATAGAATACCTAGACAGTACAAYAGGTGCACTTTGATGATTTTTGTTGCCAAAAGCACTTTGGCAGAAAAAAAGTCATTCGCAAGAATCTTTGCCATGAAATTTAGGTCGAAAGCAGAACTTTATAAAGGAAATGGGACAGAATCATTGCATCAAGATTGAATCATATTAAGAGGTCTTGACTAAATTAGGACCACTTGTTCATATCTCTAATAATAATTACCCAAGCCCACAGTCCAATCTCAAAAAATAGATCTGGCGGTTGAGAATTCTTGTGTAAATGGCTTTGTTTGTCCAAGGGTTTAAAATATTGGGTTATGTAAATATTCTCAGACGGGTAAATACTACATTTAGCTGAATGATAGACAAATGGGTGAACCATCCAATTCAGCCATCAAACCGATAACCATAACTTACAATGTAGAGTGGGTGTAGAATCCTTTATATAAGTTATAATAAAGATCATCATCAGTTTTCTATTAATATATAAACAGCCTGATCTAGTACATTTAGATTTAGCCGCTCAATTAGGTTTATGTTAAAGCAATGAATGATAGACACACATAAGCCCAAGAAAAGTGAACAACTTTTCTCATAAGTCATAATGCATGGGAATCGGGAAAGCTGTTGGGGCAACAAAGTGGACATACTGTTTTAGGCTTTTAGCCATGACCCCGGTCCCTACCAAATTTTGGAGTTTGTTCCCACAGCCTAATTCCTAAAGGAGTGCGGGAATTTTCCATTTGCCAGCCAAACGAGACCTACCTTCACTTGAAAGTTCAAACTCCGGAGCCAAAAAGCCCGAATAAGGGATTTTTTATGAAATGAACCCATTTTGAAGTGCTTTTCCACTAAAAGATAACCATAAGCGTTTATTAAGAAAAACATTAATTAATAAGTAGTTATTTATCCAAATAAGCAGTCCCAAACGGGGGCAAAAGCTTTTGTTTTTCTTTGTATCTCACCACGTGGTAGAAAAAGGTACAACTTGGGAGAGCAGTGGGTATAAGTTAAACTGCACTTTACAGGTTCGGAAGATAAACCTCGGAAACAGCCTTGTCGACTGACCCACCTCTCTTTTGACTATTATCTATGTCCCTTCTATCTATCTATTCAAGAGTCATGACTCAGGGCTCCAGGACTCAGGAGACAGCCCTTGGCGAAAAAAAATTACGGTGTAAATGTGCCTCTGTAGTACTGTACTCCCGGTTATCGACAGTTAAAACTTGTATTCCATTTCTTCCCTTTTCTGTACTAGGGTTTTACAATTTCTCGCGAGACGAAATGGAAATTTGAAAGAACGAGAGAAATAAAAAAGTTAAGATGGAGAGACAATCGAACCGTGGGCCCATGCTACTTGCATGGCCTCCGATTGATACATCCATCCATGCATCTATCTTGACATTGGCATTTGGCAGGCAGATCTTACGCCCCCCTCTCTCTCAAACTAACACAAAACCCACCTTCCCCTCTCTTTCGTCTATCACTTCTTAAACTTCCTTTCCTTCTCGCCTCCTCCTCTTCTCCTCATTCCTCACTTCTCCTCCCTCTCTCTCTCTCTCGCTTTCCTCTCGCCGGATTCCGATATGCTTCAGGGATACCGCCAGCACATTCTTAGCTTCTAAGTAAAAGCATCACTTAACCAGGGATGGGACCGTATGACTCCGGCGCCTCTGCCCCAAGCACCAGCAGCTGCTTGTCTTCATGCATGGGAAAATCTTCGGAACTAGACGGACTTCTCGCCGGCGCCGGTTACAAGGTCAGGTCCTCGGATCTCCACCAAGTGGCGCAGCGTCTGGAGCGACTTGAGACGTTCATGGTCAATGCTCCAACCGAGATTTCACAGCTCGCCTCCGAGGCTGTACACTACAACCCCACCGACCTCGCCTCCTGGGTGGAGTCCATGCTCACCGGAATCAATCAACCCTTCCCCTCATCGTCGTCTGATCTATCGGGCTTTTCTGAACTCCATTACTTGGATGATCTAGTAAGTCCACCCCTCCACCCGACGGTCGTCACAGACGCCTGGACGGACCAGACTACGCACCAGCAGGAGCCGCAGCAGCAACATCAGCTGACAGTGGCGACCGCAATGGAAGAAGATTCCGGCATCAGGTTGGTGCATTTGCTTCTCACGTGCGCTGAATCAGTGCAACGTGGCGACGTCGCATTGGCTGGATCCTTGCTCGAAGAGATGCGAGCGTTATTGTCGCATGTAAACACTGGATGCGGCATCGGGAAGGTCGCCGGATACTTCATCGACGCCCTGAACCGCCGGCTTTTCTCGCCACAAGCCGTATGCGCCGGTTCTACTCTCGAGACCGAGATCTTGTACCATCACTTCTACGAGGCCAGCCCGTACCTCAAATTCGCTCACTTCACGGCGAACCAAGCCATCCTCGAGGCCTTTGACGGCCACGATTGTGTCCACGTCGTCGATTTCAACCTTATGCATGGATTACAATGGCCTGCCCTGATCCAGGCCCTTGCCCTCCGGCCCGGTGGGCCACCCTTTCTCCGTATCACCGGGATTGGACCCCCGTCTCCCGATGGGCGCGATTCGCTACGTGAAATTGGGCTGAAGCTTGCCGAGTTGGCCCGGTCCGTAAACGTCCGGTTCGCCTTTCGAGGAGTGGCAGCTTCACGGCTAGACGATGTGAAGCCGTGGATGCTCCAAGTCGGGCCGAGAGAGGCCGTTGCCATAAATTCGATAATGCAGCTCCACCGGCTACTAGCCCCGGACCCGAGCCGGGGTTCACCAATCGACTCGGTTCTTGGATGGGTTCGTGGCTTAAACCCGAAGATAGTAACAGTGGTGGAGCAAGAGGCAAACCACAACCAACCAGAATTCCTGGACCGTTTCACGGAGGCGCTGTACTATTACTCGACAATGTTCGATTCACTGGAGTCTTGTGCGCTGCAGCCGGAAAAAGCCCTCGCTGAGATGTACATACAGCGGGAGATATGTAACATAGTGTGTTGTGAAGGGTCGGCCCGGGAGGAGCGGCATGAACCGCTGGCCAAGTGGAGAGCCCGGTTGGATGGAGCCGGGTTCCGGGCGATGCATCTGGGGTCGAATGCATTCAAGCAAGCGAGTATGCTATTGACGCTGTTCTCGGCCGAGGGATATTCCGTGGAGGAGAACCAAGGGTGCTTGACGTTGGGCTGGCATAGCCGTCCTCTCATTGTGGCCTCGGCTTKGCAAGCCGTGCCCGATACGAGCGCCCTTGCTAGAATAAACAACAATGCCTTGTAATTAGTTTTTTTTTTAATAATATTATTTCTTTTTAAATTCATGTTATTATGTTCTAATTTAGGGTTATCTATTAAAGGCTTATCCTTCTTAGGGTTCTTCTTTTCGGGTAATAAAAAAAATTCAWGCTTTTCCTTTCTTTTTTCTACATTTTTAATGTATATTGAACTACTAATAAAAAAAGTTTTTTTTTTTCCTTATCGCAACGTGTATCTGATATGTATTATATGATATGTATCGATTTTTGAAACCACCCTTTACATAGATTTAAGAGGTTTCTTTATACCACATCAGCTTGAAAAAAACAAAATTTGTATTTCTTGCGTATTAATACTTCTTTTTGATCATCAATGGAAGGCCCATTTTTGTAAATAGGCAAAATTTAAAAATATTATGTGGGCATTCATGGATAGGTCGTCAATTTGTATTTTTTTATTTTAAATGTTTATTTATATTTTTTCACTTTAAATACTTTTTACTTTAAATGTTTCTTTTTTTTTTTTTGATATTTGGTTAGGCTTCACTTTAAACATTTTTTATTTTATATATCAAATTAATACCCATTAAAGTGTGCCACATCAAATTAATACCCATCAAAAAACATTGGGACGTTGGGGAAAACACAAATTTAACATTTCCTTAAATGCCCGATGAACAAAAATCAAAGCATTTCAGTTTTTTACCATTTGTTTGATAAACGATAAAACCAAACAGTTATTTCATTTTGCTTCATCCTCAATAAACGCTAACACCTATAGCTATGTGGCACTGATGTGATAATATTTTTCAATAAATGCACATGGAACCAAACACAACCTATATAAAAACCCTTTATCCTTTTGATAAAAAAAAATTTCTCTACTAATTCTTTGTTATGTTACTGTTATTTTGTGCTTTTTTTTCTACAAATTTGAATATCTAAACATATGGATGAAATCAGAAAAAGAAAAGAACTCATTTTGCTATATAGATTTGGAAACATGAAAACCTAATGGAATTCATGTGGGCTTGGGTCCTCATGCACGCTAAAGCCCCTTTAACCGGGCCGTTAAAAAAAAGTGGACTTGGATGATTTATGTGTGGCCTTAGAGTATTGTAATGACACAAGGGACCCACAAGAGAAATTCTAGACGAATCGGAGGTGTATGATTGGGATAGTACATGCGTATGATGATATAGGCAAGTAAATACATACACGTACGTACGTGATCTCATGGAAAGGAAGAAACTTGTGGGTCCCGTGGACGTCAATATAATGAATCAATCACATGGGAGTTCTGTTTAGCTCTGCCCGTACCATTGACACGGTATCCTCATTCCTCAACGGGCTTCTCAGTCACGAATATCGGCTCGGCGTTGGCGGCTTATAATGAGTTGTGGCTCAAATTGTAGAACCAACTAGAAATTACTGGGTTCAAATTTCAAAATTGGCCAAGTAATTAGTGGGTTTGAATTGATGGGTTTTGCGTTGGGTCTGTGACTCTCGGTAGTCGGTGCTGTGCTCCCAAATCTCAACYTCTATCAACTACTACACCGAACCTCGGATTCTTGATCCCAGAGTCTTTCCGCGTGGAGGAATATTTTCCTTTAAACAATGTCAGCTTTTTCTCAGGCCCATGTACGAGTTTAACAAGTTCCACAGCTTAGTGCTTACAGAATCATCAGCTTTTTTATGAGGTTGGCACAGGCTGTGCTCATATGGCAATGCATGGAATGGACCGGCCATACCTGAACCGGACTTGGGCAGCTTTCAGAGCGGACCAACATCAACCGACCCATATTCCACCTTGGGGTTGGACCTTGGACGGAATTTGAGAATCTCCAGCCTGAGCCTTTGGTGAGTGGAAGTGCTTTTAGTAATGTCAGTGGTTTCAATAGCTCTATCAGCTTCAGTAGATTCATTCATGGACCTGGCCCATATGCCCAATGGGTGGCAAAATATCTGAACCACTTTGAGCATTGTCTGTCCAGAGCTATGCCACATGAAGCACAATGTTAGAATGGGCAAAAATATCAACAGAATCCCTTCATTTTAGGTTCTCACATGAACACCATTGTATTGTCAATTGTCATTAATGTCTTGAAAAGGTTAGATTCCATTTCAGTCGACATGTCCGGTCCGGTTCGGTCAAGTCGAGATTCGACATATGTTGCTTTCGAAGGGCCTGACATGCCACATGGCCATAATTGTACAATGTCAATCATTGAAATTGATGTATTTGCAAGACCTGTTAATATACAAATCTGAAGGGTCCTAGTCTTTCTCTTCTTCTTTTGCTTTCTTACACTAGCTTGAGAGGGAGAGGTTGAATTGTGATGAGCAATAAATACAAATGGAAACCATACTGAATGGCTACATCATACACACAGACTGATGGCAAATTCTGTGGTCCGGTGGTAATCCAACGTCCGGACAGGATGAAAAACTTCCCCTTCTCCAAGTGAAAACAATAGCGAAATAACATTCATTCACCAAACTTTTATATACTAGAACCCCCATTAGAAAGCATAATTAAGTTATATGTTTCTACACAGCAAAAAAACTTAGTGTCCACCAAAACTTGGTTGGGAAGAGTTTTTTCTGACCAAATGCTTTTTATACTTTATTCAGGGGTTGGGGTTTGGTGGTAGGTTGAACAATAAGACGTCTTTATGTGATTGGTTTAGATCTGGAATTAACGCACGGCCAATATCTAATTAAAATCTAAAAATGTGCATTAAATTAAATTTACATGTATTTAAATACTTTTACCCCCCCAGTACAACACAGACAGAGGCTAAGGTTGAGAAGCCGAGCCGAAACGAAACGCTTAGGTGCGAGTTGGGTAGCTTGATAACCACTGGCTTGGCCACTTGAGTGCTTGTGTCTGTGAGGACACGAGTAAAGCGGACGGACCACTCAAAAGTCAGAACCACTTTTTTGGAGCACATAGCCTTGCTTTCACGTGTTCCCGTTCCCGTTTTCCTGACAACTTGCGCCCACTCATGCACGGCATGGGGACCACCACTCTCCGCAGATCACGTGTCCACCTTCTTCCACGTGGCGACAGTGATATCACGAGAATATCGTTACTTGTAACGGCGGCAATTATTTTCCCATAATCTGCTTGCTTGATTTCTTTCTATTTCGGGTTTTTCTTTTTTAAAGCTCGTGGGGCCCATCGCTATAATCATCATCTTGACCGTTGATGTACGCACGATAGCTGTTTCCTCGAAACGGGAGTGGGTCCCGCTCTGAATAATTCTTCGGAAAGGGGTAAACCTTTGATTTGGATTATCTTAACATATTGGATTGGAATCTTTTATTTGTCGGAGTGGACCCCTCTTTTTGATCGTTCGATATGGCCACGTGGGATTCCAATCCAGGGATGAAACGAAGGTAGTACTGTCACTGAAATTCTGACTCTCCTATACGGAGCTGAACGTGGACATGTGATGATTGACTGATCCCCATCAAAAAGCGTAGGTGGCATGTTTTTCCTTTCCCTTCTTACGATTGAGAGAGACGGGTAACCTCATAACTGTCCGTGTAACTTGTACTTCGGGTCGAGTCGGGTCGGGTCGGGTGCAATAAAATGTATTGTTGGAAAACATGTGGTCCTGTACCTCTATTCCGATACAAGTTACAACATGGTCCCCACGTACTAGCTTCTAAGAAGTGGACGGTCATGATCTTCTTTCTCATCAAGGGGGATCTCTGATTTGGCCTATCTCTTGCTTGGTACTTGGTAAGGAGCTTGGTGGAAATAGAAGGATTAGCAAATGAATTATGACATACCCCCACCCTCATAAATTCTTCTTCCCTTCAGGATTCCCATCGATTTCCTTGGAAATTTATCTGCTTGGACACATTTTTACAGCAAAGTTTTTAACTTTTAACCATTTTAGGACAAACCATGCCTGCAATTTTAGGTATTGCCTCTGCTACAGTGAGGGATTTTCTTCATATGAATAGAGTGCCCATGGATTCAGGTCAACTAAGATGTTAGAACCTTTTAAGTGGTAAAAAAGAAGACATTAAAACCCGAGGCAAAGAAATATAATAATTATCACTTGACTGGATTATGGACCCATAAAACATAGTATGATGAGACTGTCAGACTGTGCATCTTCTGAACAACAGTTCTGCTTATGGGCCTACAGATGTTGGTATATGGTAACTTTTTTCATCCCCCATTTTAGTAGAGAAAAAACAAATGATGTAAAGCAAAAGCAATTAAAAAAAATGCCAATTGAAGAAACCTATTCTGCTTCTGATGTCAATGAGCTAGGCCATCAATGAATCCATTACTATGTTAAAAGAGATTAAAAAATCTCCAAATCTACAACCCTTGAAAGTGAAGGCAGACTCAATTTGCAAACAAAAGAGAGATTTCTCCTATGAATTGGTCGGTCCTTATGGATAGAGTTGTTCTCCCAATAAGGTTAAGGTTGAGGAAATCAATCCATTTAAAGATATTCTGCCCCAGGACGTTATTGCAGATGGTGTTGTCTAAAATCTGTATCCCAAATGTAAAATTTTTCATCATTCTTGTTTTATAAACAGATTTCTCTGACTGAAGCATTGGCCCTTTGAAAATCCAACAGCTATGTCTGATTGATGCTGCACTGTCTCTTCAACATGCAAGTTCGAGGTTACCACCATTCACTTCAATCAAGCTACATCCTGGAGGCTTCTCGATTCCCTTAGTATCCATTAGATTTCTGATCCTTTTCACAGCATTCCATTGACCCATATCAGCATATATGTTAGATAGCAGTACATAGACGCCCTTCTCATCAGGAGCTAACTTGAGAATGTGTCTGGCTGCTTTCTCTGCAAGTTCCACCTTACGATGAACACGACAAGCAGAAAGAAGAGATCCCCAGATGATAGTGTTAGGTTGCATTGGCATTTTCTCAATGAGATCATTTGCTTCATTTAAAAGACCCACTCTACTGAGGAGATCCACCATGCAACCATAGTGTTCAATGCTTGGGGTGATTCCATACAAGTTCATAGAACTGAAGTAGTGGTATCCTTCTTTGACCATTCCCGAGTGGGCACATGCACAAAGAACAGCTATGAAGGTTACATCATTAGGCATGGTTTCCCCTGCCTTTTCCATTTGGGTAAAAAGATCAATGGCCTCCCTTCCATGTCCATGGGTGGCAAGCCCTCCAATCATTGCATTCCAAGAAAAAGTATCTTTAATAGGCATATGCTGAAATATTTGTAATGCTGTCTCTATGCATCCACACTTGGCATACATGTCCAATAATGCATTTACCAGATGCATATCTTGTTTCACATTGTTCTCTTCTATGTAAGCATGAATGTGTTTGCCTTGGTCCAATGCTCCCAGCTGAGCACAAGCTGATAACAAGCTAACAAGGGTAACTTCGTTTGGCTCAACTCCAGAGAGCTTCATCTCCTGAAAGAGGACCAAGGCCTCTTTGAACTGGCAATCTTGCACATAACCAGTAATCATTGTTGTCCATGAAAAAATGTCTCTATCTGGCATCTGACGGAATACATCTACAGCTTCATCTAGATGTCCACACTTGGCATACATGTTAATAAGAGCATTACCAATAAAGACATCATAAGCAAATTTCTTTTCACGTAAATATGTATGAATTTGTTTGCCTTCCTTGATATTAACCAATTGTGCACAAGCTGACAATGCACTTACCACTGTGATCTCATTAGGTTGCACATCCGAGCATTGCATTTCCTTGAACAACCTTAATGCCTCTGCAGGGAGGCCATTCTGAACAAACCCACCAATCAAGGAATTCCATGTAACCACATCTCTTGTAAGGATGTTGTCAAAAACTTCCAATGCATATGACATAATTTTGCACTTAGCATACATACTAACAAGTGCATTAGCAACGATGCAATTAGATTCCATATTATTCTCCACAATGTACGAATGAAGCCACTTACCTCTGCCTAGAGCTTGTAGATGCCCACACGCAGAAATTAAGCTCAAAATAGTGACATTGTTTGGCTTGACCCCTGCCCTTCTCATCTCATCAAATAGGAGGAAGGATTCTTCAGGATAGTTCAACTGAGCATAACCAGAAATCATAGTTGTCCACGCAACTACATCTCTTTCAGGCATCTCATCAAACAGTTTTCTTGCAACTCCAATTCTTGCACAACACAAATTGAAATGGATCAGTCCAGACATTATAATCATATCTGAATCAAACCCAGATTTTACAATCTGCCCATGAAGAAGAGACCCGCATTCAAGCGCATGAAGGTGAGAACAAGCTTTAGTTACAATTGGGTATGTAAAATTATCAGGAGAAAACCCCCTGATAAGCATCTCTTTATAAAGCAAAAGCGCATCTTTAGGAGCACAGGTTTGAGTATAGCTCCTGATCATGGAATTCCATATGAACAAGTTTGGGTGGTGGACTTGATCGAATATTCGACGAGCGTAGTGCACATTGAACTGGGTTGATGGAACTGTGAAAAAAGCAATGATCCGGCTAACCACGAATGTATCTTCGATCAGACCAGTCCGGATCGTCTGGGCATGGATTTGGTGCAGTATCTCTATTTTGGAACAGTTTTGTATTAAAGAAATTATGTTCTGGCGGTATTCTACCCATCTTATGCTGGGTTTGGAGTTAAAGAGGTAGCGCATGAATAGCTCGGGTCAAGTGATGGCCAATAGAAGAAAAGAACTGTAACGTCATGGACTCGTATATGTAAGGGTCTCTTTTGTTGACCAAAATACCCCGGGATGCATCGCGCATTCAAAGTTTCGCTCAACTAACTTTTAAATACTTGGGATGAACTTTATTGACCAAAATACCCTCTCAACATTATTTGCTTGACCAAAATACTCTCATAGCCTCTTCTTATTCTTTTAAAAATTTAGGGAGAATTCCCCATCAGTACCCTGTATTTTGTACCTAGTGTCACTTAGGTCCCCAAACTTTAAAATACGATGTTTCAGTATCCAAACTTTCAAAACGTGACAATCCAGTATCTATCATTAATCAGTAGTTAACCTGTTAAGTAACATTTGAAAAGAACACAAATGCCCTTTGAGTGTCATTTAATTTTCTTTATCAACCATCTAAACATTGACAAAAAATTAAAAATCTCAAATCCTTGCTTCTTCCATTCAAGAAGGTTGGGGTTACGTTTGAGTGGACATTCCGGTGACCCCAACTTTCTTGAATAGAAGAAGCAAGAATTTGAGACTATTAATTTTTTTGGTCAATGTTTGCATAGTTGATAAAAAAAATTAGATAACACTCGAATGGCATTTGTGTCTTTTTAAAATGTCACTTAATGGCTGATTAACAGCTATTTAATGGCAGGTACTGGATTGTCACGTTTTGAAACTTTGGGTACTGAACTGCTACATTTTAAAATTTGGGGACCAAAGTGACACTAGGCCGAAAGTACAGGGTATTAATCAGGAATTTTCCCAAAAATTTATACACTAAAATTAGTAACGTAATACAAAAAAAAAGGTGGAGTTCAGAAGAATTTGAAGAGAAGAAAGATTAAAAGAACCTAATAAATATAGCATTTACTGTGATATTTATTTCTAAAGTAAAGTTGTAATTTGAAATATAACTTATGAGAAAAACCAATTAAAAAAAAAAAGATTTCGTTGAATGTAAGCAAAAATCTTGAGGAGAATGAATAATTATATTAATAAATTGGAAGGGCATTTAGATGGAACAACAAGCAGTTATATAATATTATATGTGGAATACATAAACCAAGCTTATATTACAAATCCAAGGATTATAGTACTAAGTAGACTGTGTCTCATATCTTCACTGTCTTCTTGATTCACTTGATGGATGACTCGATCAGTGAAGCTGTTCTCATGGACATCTTCATCAATCATCAGACCCAAATACCAGAGGCTTCTTCCGTATGCAACCTACTCCCTTTCTTTCTCCCAAGATCACAGAAGGTGAAGATGGTATTGACCTAAAGACTCTAGCACTCTCAGGCCTAACAAATTCTCTCTTTTTTCGCCTTACCTTCAAAGCTCTTGCTACTCCCAACGCCTTCACCTATGCTGATTTCAAATGTACTAGTTTTCTGCAACTTGAAGTCATTAGTCTCTGTCTCAACAATGTCTTCTTTCCTCACTCCACAATTTCTTTCGTGGACTGTCTGTTCATCAATCTCCTCATCAACCTTGGCCTCTTTCTGTGGATACTTGAGATTCAGCTTTCTTATTGTTTTGTTGGCTCTGCTCGTCTCAGGTTCATTAGAATTTTCAGTCAGCTCCTCAGTATTGTCTAGAAGCATTTGGAGCCACCTCTCTACCTTCCTTTTTCCGCGTTGTTTTCTGCATTCTTCATCCTCCTCTCTTTGTGGGCTTCGGAGTCGGAGAGTTGAATTTGGTGCATTAATCATCATCTTGTTTGGCTCTTGGAACTCTAATCTGTGAAACTTATTCTTGACCATTGATTCATCCTCCACAGCAACAAGGGACTTGCTGTGTTCTTCAAGCTGCTCTCTCCTGTCTTCTATTTCTTTTTGTATTTTCTGTTCATTGAAATAGTAACCAGCTTCAGATGATTTTTGCTCTTCTTCAGAGACACTCAGTTCCTTGTTATGATGCTTCCTTGGCCTGATTCTTGGTCCGTATAGAAAACTTCCATAATCTCCTTTTGCATGAAGGGTACCATCAATTCTAGATCTCTTCCTTGCTTGTTCCCATTGAGGCCTGATCTGTGTTTCAATCTCATCCCTTTGTTTGAATTTTTTGAGGAGCTCCTTCTCTGAGGAATCACATATTTCTTTTTGTGCTTCAAGTCTTGCCATCAAAACATTGGTGGCTGCTTGGTTCAATCTAATCTGCTCCTTATAGATGACACTCCTACAAGATGCAACAAAATTAGCTAGAAAGTATTCCAAACTAATACAAAATTGTAAAAGGGTTGGTGGTTTTCATCAGTCTTACTGGTGAAGGGCATCTCGAATCATCTTCTCTAGTACAGTTTTGTATGAGGATTGTGATTCTGCTAGCCGCCTACATTTCTCAACCTTTCTCTTACGTTTTATTAGTAACAGCTCCAAATCTTGAATAGCGAGCCTCTCAACTTCAGTCTTCTTCTTCATTTCATCCAATTCCTTGTCCAGTTTTTTCATCTCTGATTGCATCTTCTGTGCTTCCTCTCTCTGCCTAAGGGAATCTCTGGCCATGGAGATTGCCAGATATGGGTTCGTTACCATGTCAGGATTATTATTTTCTGTTGAGATACTATGTAACTGTCTCCGAACTGACTTGCAGACGGATTCATTATCATCAAATAATGACTTCCTCTTAACTATAAAAATTGAAATTAAAGAACAAGATAAGAAAAGATGTTATTTTGTGGTCTAAAGGAACTATAGAAAACATTGACTAAAAAAGGACACTTTCCCACTGACCATTAGCAGGAGAGCTTGATCTGAGTCGCCTATTGAGATCAATGGATTTAAGAGGCGAGGATGCATCAAAAGATTTCTTGCACGACAGAATAATGGCAGCTGGAGCAAGGTCTGCATACTTTTTTGTCTCCATGAAATGTTGTGGGAGAGCATGTGACTCCATAGTCTGCGAAGAATTCAATTCTTCCTTTTCTCCATGAGAGAACAGTAGTGAGAATGCTCTGTTCCTGTTGAAATTGTGGGATCAACATCAGTGGTCTCTAGTTTTGTGCTTTAAAGTCCCAAAAAAAAAAAAAAGAATTTTAGGCATACAAAACCCACCTGAAGTCAGAATTTGAAGAAGCAAATATAGACAGGAACTGGTTTACAGAGATTCCCAATTGAAGATCCCACCATGGAACTAGAAATTGCAACTTGTTATGTTTCTTCCTACATGCTTGCCACTGTAGCAACCTCAAATTGCCTGGAACAGTGCGTCCACCTCCTGTAGTCTCAGAAAAGGCCGCCAAAGCAAATCATTTGTATGTGTCTAGACAGAGAGAGAATTGAATTGAACTTGAGGAGAAAAACAAAAGAGTTTCCATAGATTATTACTTGAGCAAGGAAACCAATGATCGATCTCCCAAGCAAGAGGAGAAGCCGGATCGGCATGGTAATAAAGAACATTACCATATGGATCTACTCGAAATTTTGCAGGATCAAAGCCAGCATTCCTGAAATCTCAAGAACAAATTGTAATAACAAATGGTAATCAGGAACCTTTCAGTTCTATCTCAAAAAAAAAAAAAATCTATTTTTCCCATTTGTGAGATATAGTATACAGTTCAAGGTCTTACCCAAGGTGGTCGAGTTGCTTCCACAGAAGACTGGCGTAGATTTTTGGTTCCGTTGAAGGTTTTCCTTCATGATCGATTATAGGAAACAAATCATCAAAATCGCGAGCTCTTGAAATCTACAGAGAATAATATCCTATAATAGTCAATTATAAATTTTAAAATGAAAAACTAAACCCAAATACGAAAAATTTGAAAACATGGTTTTGGAGACCTCCTTTGAGCAGGATAAAAAGAAAAAAGAATTGCAATTAAGAGAAACCAAGACCAGAAATTCTGAATGATCCATTAAGCCAACTAACATTTACCTGAAAATGGGAGAAAGGAAAAAGAACATTGAAGGAAATGGGTGTAAGATTCCTTCCCAGCCCAAACCAGAGGACAGAACAAAAAAATAAAAAAGAAATTGAGGATAACCCAGAAGCTTATCTGCTTGGTATTAAAACTGAAAACCAGCTAACCAACAGAGAGAGAGGAGCTATTGTTACCTCATGAGTGGGTAAAACATAAGGAATGAAGGTGAAAGGGGGGCCATTAATGTAAGGGTTGAGATGGGGATCTCGACAGAGCTTCGCGTAGGCTTTTGGGTAACCGATACCTTCGTCGATCATCATCTCATCGTCCGCGAATACAAGTTTGGCCGCCATGGTCGTCTTCGGCTCTTCGCTGAGCTGAGTTCCAAGTCTTCGGGGAGGAGGAACGCAACGATCGACTCAGCTTTTCAAAGGATATATTTTCAAAATTTTGGGCCCACTAAAATAGTCTCAGAGACAGCTCCCGTTGTAAAAGCCAAGAAGCCCATACTTTGCAGGAATTGCAGTCCGAGTCCGAGTCGATCACATCAGGTTCTTTTAAAGTCCATAAAAGCCCATGGCCCAAATTCATCAAAATAAACTCAATTAAACTTAACAATTAACATCACCTTACCAGACTAACCTTAATCCATCTTGGGTTCATATTTTTCAAAACAAATCCAAATTCAACCTGATCCAACCCAACCCGACATTTTCAAATTGGAGTTGGGCTAACCTGGCCCAAGTTGCGGCACTAATAATAATGATCCATCAAACCATTTCTAATTACATAAATCAACGCGCAAGTTTGGACGAGGTCCATGTCAATCCACCTACAGGTTCCAGGTTTATTGGTTCTAGGTCCAGTTCATGGGAACTCATGGTCAGACCAACAAGGATCAGGCCCGAAGTTTATGGACCCAGGCCCTGTTAATCTGGACCGTATATGGGAATAAATGGGTACCCATTAGCAACTTCTGCAAGGCTGGAATTCCTAGCTCCTATTGACGATCCCGAACAATAAAGCATAGTAAGGACCCCAATACAAAAACCAAAAGAGCTGCTGGGATTGACGATAATATGCAGTCTGTGAATATGACGTACGATGACGATCAAAGCTACCACGAAGGTTTTTAGAATTGGATCGGACAACGAACCAATCAGGGTCTGGTTCTCAGGTTGAATGGTCTAATCGTTCAAACTGAATAAATGGCCCATTTTGACAAAGATTAAAAAAATAAAAAATGGTCAAAACCGTTGGACGGTTCGAATGATTTGAATGTCCAGATCAACGATTTATTGATCAAATCAATGGTTTTTGGCAAAATAACGATTTTAGGGTAAAATGAAATCGGTTCCCTTTTTCCGGTCCAACTTTCCAGTCCAGTCCGGTTTTGAAAACCATGGCTACCATTGGAAGAGCTAGGTTCTTCTGATTCAAGCAGAGCATCGTTTTCCATTGGAAATCTTTCGTACCAACTAGCACCGCTCAAATTTTGCATCTCTAGCAGTGACCTGTACTCACTCAGGTTGCATTTAGTTGCAGCGTAAACCTGAACCATGTTCAAATTTTGCACTTAATTCAGTTTTGCATCTGATTGTTTGCAACAAACTAACAATGATTTACTCTATTACCTGATACAAATTTTACACTTTGAGTTTTTGTCCCATTTGAACTCATTAACAATATAAATTTTGCATTTCAAAAATTTATGCAAAATTTGCACCACCTTCCTCCCATGGTCCTACCTCAATTGTCGATTCTCTCTCATATAGCCTGAACCCAGTCCAATCCGGCCTATGAACATGTCTACCCATATCCTCCTACCTCCATTTTAGTGCATATAAAGTGGAACCTCACCATTTTACCAACAATTTTACTCAAGACAAGATCAAATATGAAGCAAAAGTATATTAAAATTTAAACTCTACCTATTTGTACTCCCATGCATTTAAAGTAGTATGAATTTTATTTGCACTACAACCAAACGCAGCTTCAAGAAAGCTTATGCCATTTTTTATTTCACTTTTATTAAATACTTCTTTTTATAAGTACTTAAAATAAGTGCTGGGACCACACAGTAAGTGGAAAATAAGCACTTATCCCTATCTAGTAAAAAAGTAAGGAAAAGGTGCTTATTTGAAAAAGTACTTATTGAAAAAGCAACTTGAGAGTGGCTTTTTCAAGCACTTATTAAATAAGTGCATGTTCGAAATTTTTTGGGATGGTTCAGTCCCTGGTTAATTTTTTAAATCCCCAAAATACCCCACACGTTAGAAAAACCCTCTTATTCCTCATTCAAATAGACTCGAGTACACCAACGGCGACACCTCTACTGGGAGCGACCAGCAATCACCAAACAACATAAAAACTCACCAGCAGTCAGGCTAGTTTCACTTTTGGGACCATTTTTTTCATGTTTTCATGAATATTTTTTTTTGAGGTATTTAACGCACAAACCCTTTTGGTGTTATTATTTACCAGATTTTTTTTTTTTTGGGGGGGGGGATTCCATGCCATACAATTGCTAGCGACATCAGGTTGATCATCCTCCTCTCATTTTTTTGGGGGGGATTCCCATGTGTCATGACGTGGTGATGTGGCGAACATCCTTCAAGTGTATAATATAATATTGAAAATCATTGTTTATATGTGTGGATAGAATGGGGGTTAAAATTATCATTTATGCTAAAATAAGAACTTTTGGAGAAAGTATCTCACCTAAGTGATTTAACAAGCAGGCTACCAAACAACATTAAGTGAGTGTTAAAATAAGCACTTACAATAAACAATTTATCGAACCACTTAATCACCAAGCATAGCCTTAATCATTTATTTTTATCATTAGACTGCTTATGCTTATGTTGGACCACACTCATTTGGAGAAGAAGTGCACATTCCATTGGACATTCAAATGTAACTCTGTGGTTAAGACTTTTTACCAATTAAAAATTTTCAAACTTACCACAACTCGAGTGTAGAATCTTCCTCCATAATGTTATTAGAAAAGAGCATCAAAATTGTACTAACACATCTTGACTCGATGTCCTCCCAACCAAAATCCTTTGTCTTTTGGCTTTCCATAATTTCCCTTTAATGCCCCAACTTAGCCTTGTTAAAGTAAGATGGTCCTTCAACTCCTTTGCCATATAAGGTAAAGCAGCTGCCTTTGCCATCAAACCTTTCAATTTGAACTTAAGAAATTGTACTTTTGCTATCATTATCTCTTAAACAATTTTACAAACATCTTGTGAATACCAGCCTAAGAGCTATGATACCAATTTGTTGGACTCAAAACAACCGCCCATAAGAGAAAACCACAAAGTGCTTTAAACAAAATAGAAACCAAAGGAATCCAATAGAAACGGAAATAAAAAAATCAAAGCAAAGATAAAAGAAAAAATAAATACCAACAAGAACACAGAATTTACATGGTTAGACTTTACTGCCTACCATGGGGGAGATAAAAGTTGTTCTTCACTATAAAAGAAAATGAGAAATAGTACATGATAGTTTGTAGATTGCAACCCTAACCAACCCTTAACCCTTGTACACCCATTTCCCCTTTCCTTAATTCAAAGAACAAAATAAGAGAAAAAAAGTCAATCAACTCTTACGTGAAAATCACTTCTTCTCTCAACCCCTCTCTCTATCTCTCTCTCTTCAACAAGAAAAAAAAAAGTAAACTTCCCTATCTAAATCTTACATACAAAAGAACCCTTTTATATGTAAAACCCACATTAACCTAAAGGAGAGACCACACCCATTGTTAGATTATAACACAATCCAACTGTTGAAAAATAATACACAATCCCAATAATTTACAAATACATTAAAAAATTTGAAGATGATTGTGACAGCATTATTTTAAAAAGGAAAGATTTCACTATCTTTTTTCTTCTTGAAGCATGAAAAGGAAAAATTCATTGAAAAATGCTCACATTATAAAGCAAAACGAACAAATAGCAAGAAATAAAACTAACACCCAAAAAAGTTCAAATTATTGAGCAAGATATAAGTTATATTGAGCATTGGGAGAAAGAACTTGTAAGAACTTTGCAAATGGTGCAGAAAAAGTCAAGAAACATAAGGAAGGAGTAGAATTCTCCAACAGAGATTAACTTACCAAGCAAAACTCCCATCTCAAAGAAACTGAAACTCTAAAAGCCTTATCCACACATGATTTAAAAAAAGAAAAAACTTTCAGAAAATGAATATTGTTGTAAAGGATGATAAGACAAAAAAAGATAGAATTGGAAATAAATATATTAAAGAGTTCCATGTGTAATTTCAATTTGTAAGAGGACAAGAGAAAAATGACTAGATGTTTGGTTTGGAGATTTAAATAAATGGCCAAGAAAATGTTTGGTTTGGTTTGGTGCAAGGAAAGGGTCATAAAAAAGCAATAAGTGGACAAGAAAATGTGGGTTGAAGTGCTATGAAATGATCTAAAAACTTATAATTTGACCAAAAGCACTACTCTTAATAGAAGAAATTTAAATATAAGAATATCTAGAATTACTTTTTTTTTTATTTGACTAATGAGAATTAGAGTACTTCTTTTGGGGGGAAGGAGGTCAAATAAGTGCTTCTAAGACTTATTTCTTTCAAGAAGCCAGCCAAGGTATATCCTTTTCTAATTCATACCTACAAATTGAAACCTGAAAATAAAACTACATAAAGCAAAAGAATCTTACACAATAAATAGGGGCCAGCAACTTAATATCCCAACTCAACCTTCATGATGAAGCTTTACGATCTAAAATCACTGTTACTACTACTGCTTGTATTGTTCCCATTAAGCATATCATTGATGTAAGCAAGATTGGAGCTGAATATTTCTTAATTGTTGCAGCCTGTAAATTAAATTAAATAAAATATTAACCTTCATAATAAAATAATAAATTAATCAATTTTATAATAAACAATGATATGGCTAAATTTCTTTCAATATAGGTTATTAATGATCCCATTTCTTGTGCTACACATTTATCTTTCTATTAGAAATCATTAATTCATAAAACTAACCTATTATGCAATCAACCATTATACTCAAAATTGATTATTAGTCATTAAATTAATATTTAACTTTTCATTCCACACCAAAATGCGTTGTATTTAATATTTTCTTTTAAAGATATAGTAAATTTTGTTTTCAGAAATAATTTGGAGAAGTCTAAATCTAAATGACAAATGCCATGGTATAGTGTTTTGTGGGTAGGATTCTTATCGATCCAACTAAATCTGAATCTAATCTAATTATTGAAACTTCAAATCCAAATCAAAAGTAATTAGGGTTCCAAAATCCATTGAGAGCCCTGATATTTTTTATTCAATTTTGCAAATTTATGATCTATGACTATGTCTTGCAAGTTGGATGTAAAATTTTCAAAGAAAGGGTGGCGCAACATTTAGAACCTACAATGTTTTCATACTTTTGTAGGGGTGTCCATGGTTCGGTTAACCAAACCATGGGCAGTTTTTGTAAATTGAACCAGTATCACCAGTTTTTCCATTTCCCCAAACCGAAACGGAACCGGTATAGTACCACCGGTTAACCAGTCCGTCGATTTCGGTTTTTGACCTTTTCGATTCTTGGGTTTTTTTATATTTATAATATATTATATAAATATATGTATAATATTATATTATAAATAATAAGTGATATATAATATATTTATAAATAGATTATTATAAATATAATATATGTATATATTTATATATAATGAATATATATTTATATATAATATATAGAAAATATGTGACATATATTAAAAATATATATAAAATATACATATAAATATAACCGATCGGTTCGGTTAACTGCTGGTTTTTTTGTAGGTTAACCGAAAACCGAACCGGTCCTTTAGTTTTTCAAAAATACCGAACCGATTGATTCGGTTAACCTCATTTTCTGGTTCGGTTTTCTCTGTTCGGTTCAGTTTTTTAATTTTTCATGGACACCCCTATATTTTTGGTATTTCAAAATATGTCTATGCACATAAGACTATTATATTTAGATTATTATATATTTAGATTAATTGTTACATATTTATACTAAATATTTTTTCCTTTGGGTTTAGAAATTACCTGTAATATATAGAAGGCTGCTTGTGAAAAACCGGAAACAATAAGTAGAAGGGAGCCTTTCATCCAATCCTTTTCTAATGATGCCACTGGTTTGGTAGAATTGGTAGAATGTGGCGAAAAAAGTGAAATTACAACAACACCCTTAACACCCTTGTATAAAGTCATGACTGTAGCACCTGCAAAGTTATAAGAGTTCCACCTATTGGCTGCTAAATTTGAAAATATTTAATTTCTCCGTTCTGAATTCAAAAAATCCAAATTTGTTAACGTTAGTGTCTATAAGAAAGCTAAATACAATATTTTTTTTTATAAATGATCAAATATTTGAAATTAACAATAAAAGATTTGCACATTCAAGTAATGGACTTGAAACCTAGGCTGCATTTGAAAACGATGCAAATGGAGTGTAAATCCCGGTTCAGGATAAATTTGCACTCTGATTCACTTTTGCCGGCGTTAGGCAACATTACATTTATACATTGATAAATGACAGAAAATACATTTTACAATGCATATTTACATTGATAATAAGGCTGTGTTTGGAAACGATGCAAATGGAGTGTAAATCTCGGTTCAGAGTAAATTTGCACTCTGGTTCACTTTTGCCTGTGTTTTGCAATGCATATTTACATTGATAATAAGATGTAAAAGTACATCAATAAAAAAGAAGTAAATTTGCATTCAAGTGGTCTTTTAATAAAAAAGGAATATACTTTATTGGAATTCGTGTTTGCAACCAATACAACTAAAAGTCTGTTTGGTAAGAAGGTAAATTTGCCAATGCAAAACTAACCCAATTTTGCAATTTATATGGACCATTTTACACTCTACATATTTGCATTCACACTTATTTGCATGGTTTCCAAACACAGCCTAAGATGTAAAAGTACATCAATAAAAAATAAGTAAATTTGCATTCAAGTAGGCTTTTGATAAAAAAAAAAAAAAGGCATATGCTTTATTGGAATTTGTTTGGTAAGAAGGTAAATTTGTCAGCGCAAAGCTAACCCAACTTTGCAATTTATATGAACCATTTTACATTCTACATATTTGCACTCACACTTATTTGCATTGTTTGCAAACGCAGCTTTAGAATAAAAAACTAGAGCTGCCAATAACGGTGTGTCCTGATTAATAAATTGGGTAGGACTGGTTTTTGCGGTTCTAAACTGATAATATAGTTACTGATATATATATATATATATATATATATATATATATATATATATATATATATATAAGATAATTTTAGGGTCTGTTTGGTTCATGATCGGAATGGTCTATTCCCCCTACCTGTTTGGTTCAAACAGGAATCGGAATCAGATTCCTATTGATGCTGTTTGGTTCATCAAGAGGTTGGAATCGGAATCAGCCATGATTTCCAATTTTGCCCCTAATAAAAATAAAAAAACAGAAAATGCATGAAAATACCAAAAAAGTGCAGAAATTGCAGAAATTTTGCAGGAAAATGCAGAAGTTACAATAATTTTACAGAAAATTTAGAAAAATGTATGAAAATATTCAAAATTTGCAGAAATTGCAAAAAAAATGTAGAAATTTTGCAAGAAATTGCAGAAAAATGCATGAAATTTTGCAGAAATTGCAGAGATTGCAGAAATTGCAAGAAAATCAGAATTAGAATGGGCATTCAAAAAACAGGTTGCTGCTTCTGTGATCATAACATGGAAAATTTGGTGTCACTTTTTGAGAGGCATCAACACTAGCTAGTGCTTTCCAGTAACAGTGATGTAATTGCTATAGAGCTTATTTAAGTAAAGAGCATGTGCAATCATGACAGCAACCATACTATGATCATTTGGATGGAGTGAAACTCTGGGATTTTCAGCAATAAGTCTGCTCAAAAAGATGAGGTGAAGAGAAATGAAGTTGCAACATGTTCCTGCTTATCTGTGCTGGAGTTCAGGGGTGTTGTGAGACATGGCCTTTTCTGTATGGGAACATAGGTATAAGGGGATTATTGGATAGCCTCATCCTGAGAGTGCTTATGTAATTGACCTTGAGTCCTTCATACAGCCTTTCACTGTAGTAGCAGCTCAATCCTAGAGTGTATCTCTTATTTGTTTCCTTTCAATATAATACTATCTCTTTCCATAAAAAATATACCTCTTAGATCCTGCCCAGGTTGTGTGGTCTTGAACTCATTAGAGTAAATTGACTAAGGTTTCTACCTTACCATAATAACATGCTTTGACATATAAAATTGAGGCCACAAACTTGGTATGTTTCAATTTTGGATAAGATTCAAAATATAATTATATAGCCCATGGATTCAACAATGGGATATTTTGCTCTCACATTAGATATGATGCATAAGTACCCATTGATTAGTTTGCCACCTAATGGCAAAGGATGCTAAAYCAACCTTAGTTGCTCCTGTAAAATGAGTAAGCAGGTGCCTGTACACATCTGGCAGATATGCTATTCTAAAGGTTCATAACCAGCTTTATGCCCAACTTATGAGTTCTTAAGTCATGGTTACGATAACCTAATGGATATTCCCATTTGAACAGTTAGTGCAGAAGTTCATGTTTCTTTTCTGAATTCATTGTGAAGTTTGTTTTCTCTTGAGCTGGAGCTAAATTTGTTGTTTGTGCTATACACGCACATAATATATATTTCCTTGTAATGCACCTGACCAAAATGGTTTCTATCTGCTTCTTCAGGTCAAGATAAAGTGCTTGTGTGAGTCAGGACGTGTCATTGGTTGCAAGCTTACTCTGTTTTAATTTGAGTCCAGATGAGAGAAGGTTATATGTGTTTTTCAGTTTTACAACACCCTATGTGCCGAGTCTCATATTTATTAAAAGGAAATCCTTTCCTTCAACCAAGGATCTTGGCCCGTTTTTGGTCAGAGAAGTACCAAAACAGTTGTAGATTTTATGTGCATGGACCTAGCACCCATGAGCCTTCTGCAAAGGAACGATATAGGGAAGATGGGAGCAGTTACATATAAAAGTAGGAAGTGAAAATACCCAGAGTAGTAAACTATATGAAATCAGGCACAAAGTGTTGGACGGAAAAGTTACAGCAACAACTAAGTTAAACATAAATAAGCCAAAGCTGATAGAATTTGAAAGGGTTCAATACTGTGACATTCAAGAAAAGATTTCAGATAGCAAAGTACTAGATCAACTTGTCACATTTTTTGTTTTTGATATTGAAACCACTGGATTGAGCAGAGAGAACGAATGAATCATTGAGATTATAATTCAGGATCTCCTAGGAGGTGAGAACAGTACATTCCAAACTCTAGTCAACCCAGAACGTGTTATCCTCAATTCCCATGTCCATGGCATCACAACAAGTATGGTTAACTGACCTGATGTTCCAAGGTATAGTATTTCATAATACTGCATTTCCATGCTTCTGTCATTGACTGATTACCAAGTATATCAAGTAATAATCATGGTTAACAGGCTCCCAAAGATATAGCACTTTGATACTTTTTTTTGATAAATTATACCACTTTGATGCATTGTTGAAGCAGCTATTCTCATCCTCTCTCATCTATCGAATAAAGGAGGTGGGAGCATGCATGTGAGATGAAGGGATCACATGGATCGTTGAAAGCTCATGGAAAGGAGGAGGAGAATAATTAATTACAACTAGCACTTCTAATCTGTAGAGAGATTTTTTTTCTTCTAATGTATTCCCTTTTCTTTTTATTATTATTTTTTTATCATTTTTTATTAATCACAATTTATAGTTTATCTATTTCTTATATTGCTTACTACAGGGAAACTCCCTGCTTATCGGAGAGTTGAGATCAGTTCTTGGCCAGATAATTCAGACGAAATAACCATCAACTGGACTAATGTCATCATATTTGAAATTAGGAAAAGAAAACCGGGAAAGAAAAAAAAAAWATATATATATATATATATATATATCAGAAGGTCAGCAATCACACTAATCATAAATTGAGTCCCTAATCGGAGTTAGAAAGAAAAAATGAAGAGGCTGGATAGGCGTTGACAGTTTAGTAGTTTATGAGCTGATTCGACAGAACCAGCTCCATCCCTCTCCCTCAGGCCCTAGTCAGTTCGAGACAACAACTTAAATAGAGAGTCATAAATATAAAATGGAAGAAACGTAACCAAAAAAATGATGAAATATTGTAGAACGCACTTGCCTGTTAGAATATTGGCTTGGAATCGATGGATGTTGTAGGGGAAGATTTGAGACGAACTTTGATCTTGAATCACTCGCCCTCTCTCTCTCTCTCTCCCTTTGAATTATTGCAGCCATCGGTGCTCTAGATGCAGTCTCTGCACGAGGTTTAGGAAGGAACGATTTTAGATTGTATCCGGTGAGGAAGAAGAAGAAGATTCAATCAGTGGTCTTACCTCGCCGGAGGTTGGTTCAATTAGAGCATGCGGTTGATTTCGAAGAAGGAGGAGGAGGAAGAGGAGGAGGAGGAGGAGGAGGAGGTGGTGGTGGAGGAGGATAATGGTTCAGCAGTGGTCTTACCTCGCCGGAGGTTGGTTCAGCTCTCTGTTCGGCGATGGAAGAAGGCTTGGAGTTCTCGCAATCTCTGTTTCGTATCTTCGACTGGGTTGAAACAAAAACAAAAATCATAAACTCGAATGGGAATAACATTCCCTGGGGAGGGGTCGGGAACGGCCATTCCCCTATACGAGGGATTTTCATTCCTATTTCGATCAGCCAAGCATTTGGAATGGAAATGGGCCATTTCGATTTCGATTCCAGGCTCCTATTCCCTCAAACAACGGACCCTTGATCTAAAACACTTGTTCTATCAATATATAAACAGTTACTATTTACTGTCATTTTATTAAGAATGAAGTTTGAAATTGTTATTATCATAATAAAAATTATAGATGTCAATATAACAAGGTCTAATTGGGTCAGACCCGATTAATAATTGGTTCACTTATAGGTCTATATTATAGAACCGATTTTTTGGACTGGTCCATTCTTTCCCAAGTCAGACCCAACCAATTGACAGCTCTAATAAAAACACCATCTGGGTGGATTTTCCAATGATTTTAGAATTCACCAGGTAGACAAAGAACACAACAAAAGTTTTTTTTTTTTTTTTTAATCTCATGCGACTCAACTTTCCAAACCAATAGAGCAAAATATAAAAGGAAAAAAAAACTAAAAAATATTTTCCATTTCTGCTCCAATCCAAAAACATCTTGATGAGACGATATAGGACTTTACCTGCATAGAATCGCCAAAATGAGAGTCATTGATGGAACTAAATTTCTCATGGCAGATGAAGTATATTCTAGGCCAGCATAGAATGTTATCGATGAAAGTATGGGCCTGAAAGATATTATAATAATCATTAATCAACATTAAAACTAGGCCACTAAGCCCGGCCCATGAACACACTACATACCACGAGCCCCGTAGTTCAACTAATTTGATACTATACCCACTTTTCTTTACATTGACAGAGTTCACTTGATTCAATTATTTAATAGGCTTCCCAAAGAAATTTTACATGCATTTGTAGATAGTATTCACTGTGATTGTTGCTAGTCCAGATTAGCTGCATTTAACTAAAAATAATGGAAGTCAGAATAGCTAAACGGAGAAAGCTGTAATGGGGGCTGTGTGGCCAATTACAAGTTTACAACCCTCCGTTTGCTTTATACGTTAAACCCCCTTACCACGTGAGTCATTTAACAATTTCTAATGGGTAAGGCTGTCAATCGATCGGATATATATTGGTCCATACTAACCCTCTTCAATGAGTCCCATTATAGATGGACCGTGTCCAAACGAATTCGATGAATATTTTGTACCATTCTAGATTGGTCCAATTCAATGTCTAAGACTGTCCAAAATTGGTTTTAATTTAGGTTGGATTCAAACAAAATTGGTCCATTGACACCCATACTCTTAGATTGGACATTGGTTCAAACCGATCCAGTCTAATATAAATCCATCTTAAATGGACCAAGTCCAATCCAATTCAACAATAAGTATTTTAGACCATAAAATCAGGACTAGTCCAATTCAATATGTCTTATTGGTCCATTCAACCCATTAAAATTGATTTTGATTAGGATGGAGTCCAATCCAACCCAGTCCAGTGACACCCCAACTAACGGGAGACCCCTGCCTCTTCCTCTCCCTTTTCTCCTATCTTCTTGCTTCCGTCTCAAGAGATCACATCTGCACCCCATGGGCACCTCACAACACATTTCAACCGTGTATTGGAGCATTTTCCAATGACAAATACGAGAATTTCCCAAAAGGGTGCAGATGTGAACTTCCACCTCAACCCAGCCCCCACTAGTACCCTTCAAGATTCCTTCTGGTTTTCTGTCCATGGTGGAAGCTGTAGGTGCTTGTTTCCAAGCTTATATTTGGATATGTCAACCTCGGTTTGAAACTCTTGAGCTCCTTGTA